AGATTGATCCATGGGCAGATCTCAGATTTTGAAAAGAGCTAAAGAGAGTTTACAGGGCTGTGAAATAGGAAAAGAGAGACCAGGAGAAGCTAAATTGCAGATTTTTCAGCAAGATGGCCCAAGAAAGGATAGCTAGATTAGTGGGTCGTCAAGACCATTGAGAAGGAGAGGAGGATGTTAACACCTGTCGAGTGAAGAGCAGTTACCAGAAATCAAGAGTCATTAAATTAATTTACTCCCTCAGCTCTGCCTGAATAGAAATGCCACTGCTGCTGTTCTTCGCAGAAAATCAGCTTCCCCACTTGAGACATGCATTCCGATTTTGGAAGGCTATTTTTGTGGGGGAGAGGTATGTGTCATATGCAAATAAATATGGTATTAAATTATAGTTAATGCATAGTATTGAGAGGACTTAGGGAGGCAATGCCAGTTACTAGAAGACTAGAAGGAGGACTTGTTCAACTGCATACAGGCAAGCTGCTTGAGCATTGTCAGGATCATTACTGGTGAAACTGTTTTTCACTTGCATAAATTATTTTGTCTTTTGACCTCCTGCATTTGTCAGGAGACTGGTCTGACTTTGTGCTGAGAAAGCTCAGAGGGCTGAACTGGGGTTGAAAAACAGGCACAGTGGAAGGTGGGACCTCCAGTGTAACAGGAGGTAGTATTCAGATAAACTCTAAGGCCGTGTCCACACGTGGTGTGGATGTTTGGTTCCCTGGAGACAACTAGCAGCAGTGCACCCGTGCTACACACACTCTGGCATGTGGCAAGTTACCCCAGGGGCAATAGGGGAGGCTGGGGCCAGCACTGGGCTGGCCCCAGCAGCCTTACCTGGGAGCCTCCCAGGGCTGCAGCAATGGTGATTCTGCCACATGGAGCCTGGCCAACAGCTTCAGCACAGCTCTGGGCAGCCCGCCTCCACTTCTGAGTTGCGTGCACTGCCCTTGCATGCTGCTCTGCTTTTCTTTTGCTGTAGGTCTTTTTGACCCCTGGATATCCAGGGGACAAAAAAATTCCCTCCACGCTGCTCCCTTGCAGTGCGGAAAACAGCTGAATGTGCAGTATATGGTGTCGCAGATGTATCTGTGGCACCACATACCGCATGGCTGTGCTCATCTGAACGTGGCCTGAGAGGCTGGGAGTAGTGTGCTTAATCAGAAGCTATGCACTGGATGAAAGTGGCTTTTAAATACCTCAGTGAAGTGCTTGAAACAGCATGCATAATGACTTCTAGTACTCACCTCTGTTGTGGTAGATATCTGACTCTTCCTGGATAATATTGAGGTTCATGCCAGCAGACTTTTGGTCTTTGAAGATGACAACATAATGCCCAGTTCAGACCATTTTTTCAATTCAGAATTTTCCATGACACAACAGCCTGCCCCCAACAGACCTCCGGTTTTTAGGTCAGATTCACTGCTGTCGTAACGCAACTGCATCTACTTGACTTCAGCTGTACCTGGGTATACAAGCAGTTAACTCTATTACAAACCTTGTCCAAAACATACACGACCCTTTGCTCAGGCTTCTGTTTTGTGCCCTAGCCTCAGATGACCCTTCCTCAGCAAGTAGCTGGCACTCCAAACCTTTTGGCATTGAAAATTGTTGATGCGCTAGGAAGGTAGTAGAAGAAAACTGCGGTAGGTTCCAGGATCACATCCAACTATTGAGGTGACTTGGCACGAGGGTGTAGTTGGCATCTCTGGCAGACGAGGATGGCTTTGGGAGCCAAACTCCTTCAGAGGCCAGGATGGGAGGGAGAGGAATGAATAAGAACACTGGTGGTGTTCATCCTGGCTTCCCGGGCACTGTAAGGACTATGCGGGGGAAGCTGGCAGTCTCCCTGAAAAGGAGAAAAGCTGGGATGCAGAGAAGCTAGTCTGAAGTGTCAGACTCTAACAAAAATCCTCAGTGGAGAGAGAAGCTGAATGATGTGCTATTGTGGAGTCCAGGTTGCACATCTCCCAAATACTTTATTTACAAAAGTCCTGTACCAGTGGAATAGTCTGTGTACGAACAGTGAAGGGATCCAACCAGTTTCCCCTGTCATAATCCTTCATCCCTCGCTATAAAACCCACCATCACCATCAGTTTCTAGTGTCTCCCCAGCCATCAGTTTGCCTTTGTTTTCCCCTGCAGCGGAAATACACTGTGGGACTAAAGCTGTCAGGCTCCAAGAGCTGTTTGTCAGGAATACCAGTGCAAGTTGGGCCCTTGGCTTGCATTTATTTAATGAAGCAATGAGATTTGATCCCCCATCCCAACAATTGTGCCTCCTGTCACACCACACATGCACAGCAGGACATGTAGTTATCGGGATCAGGGATCATATCCAAATCATGTTATTACTACTGTCTAGTGTAGGGGGAACCTGGGATCAACAACCCTTCCTCCCCCTTACCCCCACCAGGAAGTTTAAAGAGAAGTCCTGCAGGTCCAGCCAGCTGCCAATCAGCTGATTATAAGCTCCACTCACCAGGCCTGCACTGGGGACTTGAACTGACTCCAGTGTGGCCTGGGGTGAAGCTAACAATCTGTTGGTCCAACTGGTACTGTTCAGACTGGGGCTGTTCAGGCCTAGTTGGTAATCTGGTTTTTGAGACCTGCACTCAGCAGTCCTGGTTGGGCTGCCAGGTACAAGGGGGTCAGAAGTGCCTGGCCAGGGAGTGGGAAGCCCAAGGACTTTCAGTCCCATCAGAAGTCTCTGTTCCTCCTCCTAGCCAAGCCAGAGCTGCTGGGCACAGGGTTTTAAAGCCTGTAGTGGGGAAGCCAGAGAATGGGGAGCTTCTCTCTGCTCTCTGGGTCCGAGCACCCAGGGAATTTTACAAAGCATAGCTGCAGGTGTGCCCTTTAAAGATCCTCATGTGTCAGGCCCCACGGTATGGGGCATGGGTAGCTGGGAGGGCAGGGAGTGAGGTCATGGGGACAGTGAGCCTGAAATTGGGTAGATGCTCCCTGATGTCAGGCTAACATTTCCTCCTCCTCTCCCCTCCTCCCCAACTGCCTTCAGGGATCATGCAGGGTTGCCAGGTCCAGGACCTTGTGCTAACACCAGCCCAATCCCACTAATTGTGTAGCGGATGGCTGTGCCCCAGACCCTGGGGCTGTCTCACGCCAGATTCCTGTGCAAAGCTGTGTGTCAGGATCTGTCATCGGTCAGCCCCAGCATGTCACACGTTCAGCTTAAGACCTGATACAAACAAGCCACGAAGCTGTTATACATTGTATGTGGAATAACTCTGTGGCTCATTTACACTTTACTTGTATCTTAAATGTAACAGGTGCCAGGGCTCTTGGTCAAGCTATTTTGGAGATGTAGCACATCAGGAAACTTTAGGAACAGGGCCAGCCTACCGTTTTTGGGGGCCCCTTACAAGAAATGGCTCACAACCGGCCTGTGCAAAGATCGGGGGGCCACATGCCCTCCCTCCCTTGGCTGCCAGGCACCATGCCTCTGGAGGAGCCGCCGGGCTCTGATTGTCCCATGCGCTGGTCACGGTGGCTGGGGGCCAGGCCAGGTCATGGGACAATCCCCACAGTGCAGAAGGTAGCGGGCCAGGGGTGGGGGTGAATGATTTGCCCATCCCCTACCCCACTCTCTCCTGCACTGTGGGAGTCTCGATCTGCCCCCTTCCCAAGCCCATGGAAATAATATTAAAAAAAACAGATTAAAAGAAACTTACCTGCCTACGGCTGGGCCGGCTGCAAGTGTGCAGGGTAGCTCAGCGTGCCCGCCCCTGCTGTAGGATCCTGCGGCTGGGCTGCCCTAATGCAATGCCTGCTGCTGCTCTGTGTTTGGGGGGCTCAGCCCTGTTAGCTCCCCACTTCTGCTGCCTACGCGCAGGGGCCCCCTTAGCTGCAGGGCCGTCTGCAGCCACAGGTTTCACCATATAGGATGGGCTGGCCTTGCTTAGCTTTCCAAAAGTCAGTAACAAGAAAAGCATTATCATAGCCATAATGTTACGCCTCCTTTCCTTGATCTCCTGCTGCCCCAGATACATGTCTTTCAAAATAAAAAATGCAGGGGAAAAAATTCAGGGGATCTTATTGGGGGCTTTTGAAGATACTTTACAAAGAAACTGTTTCCTGTAAAAATATCACAGCTATTATTAAAACAGCCCATAACAAGTGAAGCACTGATGTGCTATTATTTGTCTGTCTGGTACCTTATTCTGCCATGTCTGTTCCTTGCGTGATTGGTGTGCGCCTGCAGAGATGATAGCTTGTATTCCTTTTAGTGCCGAGGAGCCTGTGTAGATATAGGGTGACAATGGGGGGAATCTATTCCAGGCTTGTACATCGTGATCGTTTGCTGGCTTCTAACTGCAAACGCCTTATCTCAGGTGTTGAGCGAACGAGAGAGGATCCAGCCGGTGAAGTGCACAACACTAACAGCTGACAAAACCATAAGCTTACTTGTAAACCAAGGCAGCTTGATGCCAACCTGGGAGCCCATCACTTTCCCGACCTTGAGAACACTTCATAATCACTTGCATCACAGCTGTTTGTGTCTTATTCCCAGCTACTCCCACGAAATTAGTATTTGTGTTCCCCGGCAGAGGGAGCACCAGCCACGGCAATGTGCACATCTCCTTGTTCCCGGAGCGCTTGCTAAATGCAAATGGTTTTTAAAAATAGCATTTACCCGGTTCTATACAAAATTACCAAATCTGGGAGTTCATTTACAATGTCTCACTTCTGTAATTTAATGCCAAGAATACCCTCTGAATAGCAAGAAGCCCCCGCCTGCTCTTTTGTTCAGAGTTGCCTGAACTTTTAATGCTATCAGGTATCCAGCTCTGAAGGAGATGCATGTGCACAATACAATGCAAAAAGTGGCTTCTAAAAATAGGAGTGCCTCCTTACCCTTGGTCCTTATTGATCACAGTCACAGCATTTTGAGTGACGTGGTCCCAGAGGCGTAGGCCAGCCCATGATAGATGTCACACACACAACAGCAAGGTTGCCAGGCATACAGCCTGCACTCAGCCTGAGCTAAAAGTCGGTACCGAGAGGGGCTTATGATGCAATGCCCAGCTGTAAAAAGATGAAGCTGCAATGAGAGGAACCGTGGATGAGTGTTTCATCCAGCCTGGGGTTTGCAACAGAAATGAGGGACTGAATCAGACTTGGGAGCAGTCGGTCTCTTGTCTGCGCTCTTGACTAACAAGACCGATTTGAATAGGAGGCCTCTGCTGGAAGAGGGTTCAGGTGTGGAAGCCCATTGTGAGCTCTGTAGCACGCTGTGTGTGTCTTTGTTTTGCATATTCCAACCGCGTGTCCCTTTGCTACAGAACAAATTTGACCTTGGAAAGTTTCAGCTATGGAGAAGTGGGACGGCAGTGCAGGCACCTCTGCTTTCCACATGCCAGAATGGATGGTGAGTCCGCTTTTAGTTTATCGCTTTAATTAACTCTCAGCCACTTGTTCACAGCTGGATTTCTTTGGGGAATTTCATTTCCTCAGGTGGACTTAGAGCAGGCTCAGTTCGTACTGCTTTTTGTATTATTGTTATTATTTGCCATGATGAGATTTACCAGGAGTGGGAAACCTTCAAGTCAGTCGAACAGGAATTGGTAGTCCATCTCCCTGTGAAGGCTTCAGGGGCCGTGTACTGTCCAGTCTAATGGTAAAAGGCCAAGTGGCAGTGGAAGTTGTTCCTGTTTATCAGAGGCAGGCTGGTATTTCTCTGGGCTGGGACGATGTAGTTGGGGCTGGTGCTGCTATGAGCAGGGGTTGGGCTAGATATCACCTCCTGAGGTCCCTTCCAACCTGAATTTTCTGATTCTGTGATTCTATTTCTCTGCCTCACCAAGGCCTGGCGTAAGGGCTGATGCTCGTGAAACAATTTGGGATCCCTGGAGAAGAAGCACTCAAAGTGCAGAATAATCTCCTGGGGCTCGTCTTATCACCTCTGAGAACAAGATCAGCACAGCAGGTTTTAAAGCTTATTCCCAAGTAGTAGAAATCATGTCTACATTTCTCAGACCCGCATTGCTTCCTTTATTGTTAGTTTTAAGGCAAGTCCATGGATCTTCAGAGCACCCTGTGGTATTTGACCTCCCCTTGATCAGTAATGGGGGAGTTAAAAGGAGCTTTTACTCGGCTTTAATAAAAGCATGGGTATGCTGCATGCGGTGCTCTTACTTCTTCCCAGTTGCTACTCATATTTGGCAACTTCTTTCTGTTTTAAATGTTGGGGTCCTTCATGATTCTTCCACAGAAGATTTTTGGGTTTGTTTTAGGACATGGTAGCGAGAGGTTTGGGTTCTTGTTTGCCCTTCTAAAATGCACCTTAATCACGAACTGTCTTCTAATAATGGTTGTTGTAGTTGCATGTTGCAGTCATTTCCTATGTCCTGTCTGCTGGCTTTCTTCCAAAACACAACTCTTTATTGTACTTAGACCCAATTTATCTTGTCTTTTATATCATGCTACCAGGAAACAGCAGGGGGATCAGTAAAACTTTGTATCACAGATCTCCCTGGTTCAGCATTTCAAATGCATACATTTTATACTCATTTGTATATCTTCAGATATGGATCTGTATAAATGAGATTTCAATGTAATCCTTCTTTGGTAATTTCTGTGTCAATACCATACGCATCCTGGGATTCGAACCATGATTAAACTGTTAACTGAACTCCACGGTTTCTCTTTGCAGTGTGGACATGTTTCTTTTCTGGACAGAGGCAAGTGTTAAAGACTAAATTGAAAACTCTCACCCGTATATGACTTTATAACTCTGCGTAATTGCAATTTAAATCCACCAAAGCCAGGTAATACCATGGCTCAGTGGAACAATGTGGATGGGCTCAGCCATGCCTCATAACCAAAGATTGGCTTGAGCTGCAAAATTCAGATATTGCTCTGGGCCTTTATTTCAAGTCACTCCAACCTTGGTCTCTCCATGCAGTACAGCAGTGATTTTTCTTAACCTACGGTCAAGTTCCTTTTGCATTACTCGTCCAACTGTGTGTTAAAGTGGTTGAACAGCCCAGCTTAAGGTCCCACATTGTTTATATTTTTCCCAGTGCTCAGGGAGCTAGTTGTAGCACAGCAGTCTTCTGTCATGATTTACATCTCTTGAAACTGGTGGAATAGGTAGAATGGTAGAATAGCTGTGCTTCAAGTGTTCCTGAATTGTGCTACAGACTTGACATTGAAGTAGGGTTGGGTATTTGACCAGTCAAATAAAGTCCAGTCAATGGACTGGTCAAATATTGGTCAAAAATTGTAGGGGGAAAAAAAAAAAGCCAATACAGTCACATAATACACAGAAAAAGCACAAATTTTATATTAAGAAATATGTCCAAAAAAATTAAAAATCATATTTCTGTCAAGAAAACTGCAAAAAAAAATTAATTTCTCATAAAACTGCTATAATCTTTGACCAGTCAAAAAATATGCAATCCAGTCCATATATGGTATTTGACCAGTCGGTTGACCAGCCTGTCAACCCTGAGTTGAACTATATGGGAATGCTATTCTAATATAATAAAAGCCTTACCACTTCTGTCTGAGTGTCTGTCTGTCTGTAACGCTCTGGGCCAACTGCGCATGAGCTGCCCAGTGCCTTACGGATGGCGAGACACACAAGGGGAGGTGGAGGCAGAGGCGGGCAAGGCCAAACTCCGCTCCTCGCTGCAGGACAAGGTGGGGGGAACAGGCACATTGGGAGCCCAGACTCCTGGGTTCTCCAGGGCTGGGAGCCCGCACGCCTGAGCTCTCTGGGCTGGGGGGGTTGGAATAGCGGGTTTGGGAGCCTGAACGCCTGGGCTTTCTGGGGTAGGAGCAGGGGTTAAGAGCCCAGGCGCCTGGGTTCTCAGGGTGGGGGGGGGTCTCTTGGACGCCCGAGTCCTGCGGGCTCTTACCCAGGTCGTCCAT